CAAGAATAACTGAAGTAACGTGTTTTGAGTTTTTTTTCAAATTATCTGTATGCAACTTATAAAAAATTAGCTTGTCTCTTTCTCTCTCTCACAAGCGTGAGCAAAAACAGGTTTTTCTTCTCTCGAAAAAATATCCTGTTCTGTACATGTGACTCAAATTATCGTGTATTAAACTACATACAGATACAATTTGGACGATTTCATAATTCCTACTTCTTCATCAATGACTGTAATGAATAGACATAGATAATTTTAAATAATTTCTATTTAAACAATAACAACTGTTAAATCAATTTTTTTACTTAATTTCTGTTATCAATTTAGATTTCCGTAAAAAAACCTCATATTTGAAAAGTGAAATATTTTTTTGTTTTTTTGAACGAAATTCTTTTTAATCTGACAACATAAAATCTAAAAAATTCTGAAATGATTTCAGTTTTTTGTACACGCATATCGAAACCTTTTTCTGATTATGAGGTCAAAAATACGAAAAACATTTTTTTGAGATTTTACACGTAATATGGAATCTGTTTGATATAGAAAATAGAAATTCATATTTTTAGAGTGTCGTAATAGGTGTCTAGTAGTATTATTCTTTCTTTTCATTTTATTTTGTTTATATAGATCGATCAAATGACTCATCTTCATCGAGATCCTACTATTATCCGATTAAAAAATATTATCATTTATTATATAAATCTCAACAGCAGCAAGAAGATGATATGACTATTATATACAAACAAATTCAAAATGATTCATGTCCGAATACAATACTATCGAAATGGGTTATGAAATATTATGGTGATAATGCAAATAATTATTTTACATTTCGTAAAACATTTACATATAATTATGGTTTATATTCAATAATGACTTATCTGTTTCATCTTAAACATTTTAATTTACAAATAAATCGAGCTGTTGGCAATATTAATCCATTGTATATACAGTTTAATATTAATACAGAAATTAAAACACAACTAATTGATAATAAAAAAATTGATGAAGAAAATGATGATTTACCATTTCGTTTAACACCAAATATTGATTTATTTCTTAATCAAATTGGTCGAATGGGACCATTAAATGCCATTATGATTTCAACATTAAAATGTTTAACACAACCAAAATATCAAATTGTTCAATTATTAAAATTATTTTATAAAGATGAACTTAATCATTTGTATGAACAGGTAAAAATATACATGACTATTTGAACCCTCTCTCTCCCTGTTAAAAAAGTGGAGTTTTTGATTTATACATGATTAAATAGTCCACTTTTCAAAATTTGTATCAATTTCTGTTCAGAGATACAACATGACTTTAGAAGGACGTTTTTTGGAAATTTTGAAAAACAAAATATTCAAATTCTACTTTCTTTTCACGATACTAATGCAATCAAACTATTTTCTAAATGCGTAGATTTGTAGAGTAGCTTTTTCTAGTCTACAAGCACAGCTCTGTATGATTTTCTCTTTAAAAGTTACAAGTATTCTTCTACAAATCCTAGAATATACTAATAAATGCACGACGCTTTTCTTGAAATCATTATTTTGGATTTTAGCTATTTCTGTGACATAGATTTCTGCGCTATTTTGAATGCTAAACAGCTCGGAGTGATCTCAAAATGTAGCTAAGATTTGAACCTACCACTTAACAGAGTCCACTTTTCGCTTTTTACCTTAATTTTTCAGAAAAATCAAGTTTTTCGAAAAAAATAGTTGAAACATTTTCTAAAAATCATATTTCATATGATATACTTTAGTTTAGTGTTGCTCAGTTTTAACTTGAACCAATGAGCAAATTATACAGATCGGTGCAGTTTTTTATGTTTTATTAGAATATTATCTGAGAATCGAAAAAAAAGATGTACAATATACTATAAATAGCGAAATATGAAAACAAATTGACGAATATTGATCTGATTTCATCAACAACATATTATTTTACATAAAAATGAATATGATATTCGTAATCTCCGTGAAAAATTGAATCGAACAACATATCGCTCTCAGTTTTTTCTTGTAAAAATTTTAAAGCTGGAAGAAGGAAAGTCGACACAATAATTTAGTCAAAAGAAAAAAAAAAATCGCTTTTTTTCGCTATAAAACTGTTCTAAACTATAGTTTGAGTGATTTTATTCTTCAAGAGATCGTGAAAATGTTCTAGAGTGACTTTTTATCAAAAATCTTTTACCCTTGAAGTTGATAAAGAAAGAGGAAATAGCTTTCCTGATGCTTTTTTGTTCACTTGGATTAGATAGAGCAAAGAATTTTACCAATGAAAATCTTATTTCAACACAAATGAGACCTTTAGCAAGAGAGGATGTTGGCCTGAGTCAAAAGTGGTACTCATTTATGATAAAGAGCTTTTTATGAATTAGAAAAGTATTTTTGAGCAAAATGAATGTGATATTCGTAATCAGCGTAGTCGATTACATATATTTCGACGAAAATTTGAAAAAAGAATTTCCGAGAATTTTTTCGAGCTTTTGCCAAAATCTAAGTAATCAGTTTTGTTTAGAATGTTTTCCAGATCACAACTATGTAGGTTTTTTGGAAAAATTGACCTTAACGAAAAGTCGGAGTTTGCTCAATTGTAGCGTCAAATTTTGACTACATTTTGATACTACTTTGAACCTTTTAGCACTTAAAACGGCGAAAACCTTGTCACGCGAACACTTACTTTTTAATCCTTATTTTCAGAATAACACTGAAAAAACACAGTATTTCGGGTTCAATTCTGGATCCTGTAATGAATTTCATAATATTTTATCTTCTTTTTGTTTCTTATTTAGGAAAAATCATTGATATTATCTGTGAATGCAAAAGACAATTATTATTTGAATAAAGAAAAATGTATTTATTTGGTAGATGTGATAACGAAACATCTTCAGTATAAATTTGATCGTTAGTATAATCATAATTAATTTTAATTTTTTTACACAATTTGAATGATTTATTTTATTTTTCTTCTCTTCTATTTAGAATTTTCTGATATTGATCAAACACGACAAATTGTTTCACAATT